CAAGGAGGTACTTTTTCCCCACAACTAAGAATCAATAGAAACAAAAATAGAATCATAAATCCAGTATTTGAGAATAAAGTTGGTTTGGGCTTGCCATCTTCTAATCAAGTCGGCCACAGACCTCTTAATGAGAGCAAACCAATAAACATATGCACCCTCATTTTAGTCCTTGCCCAGCAAGCTGTATTGTAATGTAATACAGCCCTGAGCAAAGACTTTGCAGATGTTGTGGAACTTACCATTTGCTGTTGGTAATTTCAAGAGGAGCAAAAGATGCGCAGCTGGTGTTTTTCTTTTCCTCTCTGGAAACCATTAAACTTTCCATTGCTAATGATCAGCCCTACATTCTCCAACCTCCTACCTTGTACCCAGTTGCAGTTGCAACAAAACATGTCTTTCTTTAACATTTGGGATTTTGCCCTAGTCTTTTGTTGCAGTTCATGAATTCACAAGAGGAAACAAACAAATAATAAAAAAACAAAAACCGTAAAGACTTAAAAAAAAGAAAAGTCAGAAGCTGGAAGTTCAAGGGTGACACAGGAACTAAAAATGATGAGTTCATTAAGAAATATCACTCCCCATCCTGCGAAGGTCTCAACAAATTTGGAACAGGCAATCATATACAAAAATAAAAGTATTTACTGTAAGTTTGTGGAACCTTTTCACTCCTAGAGTAGCATTGTAATAAAAATTCATCATAATGGATTATGTTTAAATGGCATGAACCCCAACTAAACAGAATATTTAAAGAGCATCAATGAGGAAACTAATAAAAGGAGACCATTCATTCACTTTTGGATGTCTGATTGCTTGAAAATAACCAGTTGGCAGATGACTGTTGCTGACCAGTTCCAGAATAAGCCTGGACAGCTTGCACCATATACAGTATCTGCAAGCCACTCTAAGGAGTGGCTTTCTGTTTTCAGTCTTGAATGCCTGTGCACACAATTTCCATCTGGATTCTTTAATGATTGGTTTGTATTTTGAATGGAAAGGTGCTATTTCAGCTTTTCAACACCTTAATCAAATTCCCCAAATGTATAACGCCACATCTAGTTTTGTCACATCCAAAGTGCTTAACTGTTAAAAGAGAGTAACACTTGGTAATTTTGAATTCAGGGCAATGAAAGAGAGTTAGCAAATGGGTGTGGTCACAAGAAACTGGCTCCTATGCAGTGCAGAGCCACAAGAAGTACAAACAATACTAGAAAAAACTGCAGACCATGCCATAGTCATTTTGTATCGTGCGTTTGTATTTCCTGAGGTGTCACAAGATCATCCTAAGCTAAAGAGACTTTACACTGCAGGAGGTTCCAATATCTGTGAGGAAACTGACCAACTACTATCGGTAATGATGGCAAAATTTTATTCACCTTTACACAGAGTAATGTCTATTCAATCTGTGAGGAATTCTATAATTCAGTTCTGTGATTTGTTTCTTTCATTTTTCACAAATCTTTTAGTGAAACAAAATGCCTCCTGAATCTTGGCCTACATATCTCAACAAACACCTCTCAAGAACGTAGTGAATGCAGCATTTGACTTTTGAGAGAAGCCAACAATGATGTCAGGTATCAGGCCCTTTGAAGCTTCATTGTTACTGGAAAGCTTTAGCACAGGAGCCAAATTCTTGGGTGAGGGACACGAATGTCCTCATGGGATCAAAGTCAAGTTGGTAGGCCATTAGATACAGTACAGTATGTGAAATCAAGAGTGAGTAATTGCAAACATGCTTGGGCTGGCTGGCATGAGTAAAAATGGACAGATTCACCACACACTTTTCTGTTTATCTTATTAAAGACTTTTGGGTTCAGGAAGTGATTCATCGGCCACTGGAGCCTTGGGCATTCTGCATCTGACAACAGGAGGCTGGCTGATGTCATTAAGGAGGAGAATCTGCTCTGAATCTCAGATGAGCTCATCGATTTTTGGTGTGTCTCATACTAACAATGTGGTTTAATGACAACCATAATACCAAATATGTACACGTCAATCATTAACACCCCATTAAATGAACAGCAGTGTGTTCTCCTTGTGCCTTACTCTTTCAGTCTGTTAAGAAAATCACAGCTGCAGAAATAATTGTTTGTGTTTATTTTTAAAATGTGTCAAAGCTGTGGGCTCTGAAGAATGCATGACTACTATGTGTGGATTTAAGTGTCCATTTGTGAATAACATTAGATATTTATTTCAGTTGCTATACTTATTTTAATTAAACCAGCGTGCCTTAATAGTGAAGTGACATTATAACCTGAATATTTAAGGAGAACCGTGTTTGATGGGGTTTGAGGGTATAAGGAATTTATTAATTAACTAACCTTAAAAAAAAGTGTGACTGTAATATACAGCAATGATACATTGTGATCTTTATGGCTGGTTTCTTATATTATGCTATATACAGTATTTTCGTTACAGGTACCACCTTGACTGGAGCATGAGCTTCATACAGTACATTACTTAAGCAGTCCCTATATTTCAGTGGAATTTCTCCAAGAATTCCACTTTTGCTCACATACAGCCTTTTTACCCATGTACTGTACTATGGGAACAGGCGCTCATCAGAAACATTCAAACAAAGCATGGATTAATCTTAAAATTCTTAACATTAATACTTTTTGTAATGTTTTGTTCATCTATGTTATATTTTCAGACTTTTACAGTTTATTGTATTGAATTGCTAAGGATAACTAATTCTACTAGTTACTGCTACTAATAAATTCTATGCATTTATGTAGTGCTTTTCACCCCAAAGAGTTTTCCATATATTGTAGGATGAAACACTTCATCCACCACTGCAGTGTAGAACCCCCTGGGTTTTAATGCCTCATCTGAAGGACAGCTCTTAGTAAACTTGAGAATGAAAGAAGATTTAAAACATGCAAGTGTTACTGTATGTCAATACAAAAAGACAGAATAAAATAAAACATATCTGCACATTCTTGAGCTTTCCGATTATTCAATTGTACTTAATTAACAAAGAGGAAACACATCATTTTAAAAGGTTAAATTTATTAGTGTTGAAGCAGCGACTTCCCCGAAAAGAAGAACAAAATAGATATTTCTGTAAATAAAGCCACAAGTCTACTTTAATTATAAACTCAAGAAAAAAAAGTATGCTAATCATTCAAAATGAATAAACTGTCATCTCATTAGATCCTTAATACTGAATCCAAAACCACCTACTTCTATACTATGATGTATGATATCCTCCTACATTAACATGGCAGAAGTTGTCAGAATTCTCAGTCTAAACAAATGGCAGGAATATACAATAAAACACTGTTTTAAAACAAACAATACAATAATTTAATCTGCTTTTGTTTATGGACATCCGTATCTACCGACATCATTAGAGAACCACATAAAAATAAAGGTTTGAAAAGTAAAAACATAATAATATGGTTATTTTCTTCACCAAAGAAATCCTTAATAAGTACAATTAATAATCTAAAAACAAGTTTTGCTTTATGAATGCACTTGTTTAATTCAAACATGAATGCAAAAGGTGCATGCTTGTTTATTTACTATCAAAATATAGGTTTGGAACCTTTATTTTTAAAAAAGTCAAAATCTAAAATAGTTAAATACAATCATTTAATTAAAAGTGTGCTACACATAAGAAGACTGATTCCAGTTTATTGACCTTAACCAACACATTTTTCTTAATATGTCTTTTTATGATGCATATTGCCAACATCTCCTCAAAATCACTTTTGTGTAACTTCACTTTTGTGCTTTAAGTTCAGTTGAATTCATTTTAAAGTTTGCCGTTTCCTTTCTTGCAAACTTTGGAATCAAACAATCCTCTTTTTGAATTAATCAGGAGCATCATTTAACAATACACATATTAAACCAAATGTTACAATTTCCATCCAACAAATAGCAAGAAATAATTATGCATTCTATATAAGATGTGTACAAAATTGCTTGTTTTTACACATTTTAGATAGAAGTTTAATCAAAGACTTTTCAGCCTCAGTTGGATCACAGGAAAAGGGTGCGAGTTTTGTTGATTCTCTCGGTGAGGAAAATCAGTAACAGTGAAAGTCACTACTTACCACCTGACCTGGTCTTAAATTCATTTACAAAAGCTTCAGTTTCTAAGTAACTCTATTTTACCTTTTTTAATTCCAAAACCCTTTCAACAAGATTTGGCTTTCTGTTCACTTTAACCTCCCAACAAAAATATATCAAAGATTATTGATAGTCTATTGGAGTCTGTTGGAATACCTTAATTGCAATTGGGAGAATCCCACAACAAGGTATGAAAAGGTTTAGTATTATTCAAAGAGCTAGTTCATATCATCTACTTTCTTCCTGTAGGATAATTTGTCACTTAGTATATGCAGTAACCTACATAATTTATCTCCATTTTTACTCCATCTTGTATAATATCTGCTATGTTAAATCACAGTTCTAGCATTTAGAACCTTAAAAAGGTTCCTAAAAGCTGAATCTGAGCTGGGAACGTTTCACAATGTAAGTACTGAGGCACACACAAGGCTTCTGTTGGAATAATAATAATAATAATAATTGCTTACACTTATATAGAGCTTTTCTGGACACTCCACTCCACTCAAAGCGCTTTACAGGTAATGGGGACTCCCCTCTACCACCACCAATGTGAAGCATCCACCTGGATGATGCGACGGCAGCCATAGTAAGCCAGAACGCTCACCACACATCAGCTATCAGTGGGGAGGAGAGCAGAGTAATGAAGCCAATTCATAGACAGGGATTATTAGGAGGCCATGATTGGTCAGGGCCAACGGGAAATTTGGCCAGGACGCTGGGGTTACACCCCTACTCTTTTCAAGAAACGCCCTGGGATTTTTAATGACCACAGAGAGTCAGGACCTCGGTTTTCGTCTCATCCGAAGGACGGCGCCTGTTTACACTATAGTGTCCCCATCACCATACTGGGGCATTAGGACCCACACGGGCCGCAGGGTGAGCGCCCCCTGCTGGCCCCACTAACACCTCTTCCAGTAGCAACCTTAGTTTTTCCAAGGAGGTTTCCCATCCAGGTACTGACCAGGCTCACACCAGCTTAGCTTCAGTGGGCTGCCAGTTGTGTTGCAGAATGATATGGCAAAAATGGAACCTTTAACAGAAATCTTACAGAGTTACTTCTTTAGCACACCTTTATTTCACTTTCCCAGATCCTAACAATGAATTATTTGGAATCACATGATGCCCCATGTATACGATCATAGGTGGGCATTATACTACTTTTGGATTGTCTTTTTCCCTTGGGTTTTCGGCATGGTCTGACAATAGCTTTCTTCACTTGTACACTTCCTCATTGATAGCTTCACACAATAACTTTTCTTTATGCTACTGGATTAAAATAAGTGTACAACAAGTAACAATAGAAGGTTATTGAAAACATTCTATGCAATGCAACTAGTAGAAACTACTTAATAGGACATTGTACTGTACATCATGCACACTACTACCTTAAGGATAAAAGGTCTTCTAAAAAGTTAAGGATTTTATGAGTGTAGGAAGTGAAAGTCCATTGCCTTAGAAAGAAAGCCTTTTCTGACTTTTTAACTGTGAATGCAATATTACAAAAAGGCATTTTTGAACAAATATTTTTCAATTTGGACACCCAATAATGGTATTTAGAAACCTAGGCAATGTACAACATGCCCCCATAGCATAGGATTGTACTGTTAGCTTGAGATGATGTACTATGAAAGTTACTATATAAAAGTAAGGTTTTATGAGAGAAAAGTTATGTAGGGGAGAGAATAATCTTAAATCTTACCCAAACGCTTCTCATTACAATCATAAATTAACCAGTTTTAATTTAATATTAGAAAATAAATAAGCACTGTAACACTTTCAACAAAATAACAAAGCCAATTCCCTATTTGACAGGAAGGCTGAGAAGATTTTCCATATCATTTTCAACTCTTCAAGGTTGAAACATCTGTCTTTAACAACTGGACATCTGTGTTTATGTTTTTCTGGACTTCTCACACACCATAACGTCTCTGTGCTGCACATTTTAGGTTTGGATCAAGTACAATTGTCTGTTTCTGTTAAAGTTCAAGTTACAATTTAAACAACTCGGAATATAGTTTCTCAAATGCTGAGACAACATACTGTGGTCCACAAATGAGAAAAAAAAATATTTACAGCAAGCTAAATTGTTCAGCATTTTTTAAGTTTATCTTGTTTATTGATAAGAGCTTCTTAGATTTTGATCCAGAAAAACAATGACTATGTATTATTTTACCATAATAACAACTGTATGATACCATTATTATTATATTGAGAGATAGTTTTATATTGTGACTTTATGGTATTGTCCAAGATTGCGTCATAGCTTAGTCATAAATCTAGGTAAATCATTTCCCGAAACATTGCATGTAAGTACATTTTTTTTCTTCTCCTGTCAGATCAAACAAATACTGTCAAATTCCATTGCACAATTAAACAAATGCATTAAAACAGACTGCAAAATTCAATTTCACCAACATAAACAACTGAAAGCAACTCTCGGTCAGAATAGAAGCTGTACCTTTTCTACTTTTTTGCAAGTAAGAACAAAATGTACATCTAATAGCACCCTGGGAAAAAGAAAAAGATTTTCTGTACTCCTCCGAAACTTCAAGCGCGCAAATTGTGCAGTTTAAGAAAATGAGAAAATAAAAGGAAACTTTTGAGGTTAAAAGCGATTTAACTTTTGCGTGCCTCTGTCGCCACTAAATAAACCAGAAAGCCAAATGGTTTGGATGCCTGTTAGGCCCAAAATGACCCCCATCCTTCTGCAGGGAGCCTGTGTCTGGTCTAAGTGCTCCAGTGGAAATGGACACGTGGGGAGACGGATGCTTTGGAGACTTCTTAGGCTCTACACTGATTTGGCCCGCTGGGCACACGCAGGGCACAATGAGCGCCCCTGGCACAGGTTGATGGTCAAGCCTGTCAGGGGCTGATCGCACTCCGAGCAGCAGAAGTGGTTCCTGTGCCATGCGTTGCCCTCTCTTTGCAGGTAGTCCTCTGAGAAGATTAGCTTGAAAGAGATGGCAAAAAAAAAAAACAGAAAGCAAATTTTTAATTTGATAACCAAATCATGAGACCGGTAGGAAAGGTTTACAGTACTGCCAAATTTTGTTGCAAAAGTACAAAACCTCAAAAACTTGCACCACACAAAAGATCACCAGACAATCCTACACAATGAAGGAGGATCAAAACATACGCAGGCCCTATTTAGTCAGCCTATGTTGCCATTGTCATGTACAGTGTAATGGTCACGGGTTTCAGGAAGACGTGAACTCACCTCGTCACAGCCAGCACAGCGTGGTCTGACAGTCTGGCAGTAATGGCGGCCACATAGCAGGGAGCCGTTCTTCCAGAAATAGATGAGATCCACCAGGGCTTCCCCACACTGGTAGCACATGAAGCAGGATGGGTGCCAGACCCGCTCATAGCCTGCTCGGTCTGCATACACCACAGGGTGGTCACTGGGGGCAGCCTTCTTGCAGTGATCACAATGCTGCAGAGAGACATGCAGGGTGCAAGGCGATTTAGATTCAGAGTCTCAGTTGGTTGGTGTTACTGTTCTGTAGCTATTATCCATTCTGCACAGGAACCTCTTGTTAAAGGGGAACAGGAGTCTCAGTTTCTCACATCGGTTAAATCTCAGTAACAAAATAAATTCAGTGTAACAAAATGTACAAATTTCCAATTAACCGCAAAATTGTAAATGTTGTGAAAGTACTGTAAGTTGCCATGTTGTTGCAAACCCCTGGTCTTGCTGCAGGCAAGAGCCATAGTTCCTACAAACTGTGACATGGTACAGCCCTGTAATAACTGAAGTAATGCAATTTACGAGCGAGGTAAGTACAGGTTGTGCAGTGGATATTTCACAGCAGAATGTTTGCATGCAGAGTTAACAAATAGGTTCCATTTATCAGAATATTTGTCTATTTTGTAATGTAAATTGGAGGCTTTACAAGTTACTGCTGTATGTACATTTTACTTTTGGTTTGAAATGCTTTCATCAATGCTGATTCTGTCTAACTCGAAAATATAAAAACAGTGCTGCAGTTCTCCTTTAATTGAATAGGCCTTTTAAAACCTAAAGCATTGAGCCTTTCACATCACAAGTTCTTCAGATTTATATCCCTAAAAATTCTAATTATTCACTTCTTAGGAAGTTTTTAGCATTTGTTAAAATGATTTTAAGACAGAGTAAACTTAAAATACTGCACTTATGGTACTGAAAAACAATTGGAAACCTAATCAGTTTTATTGAAACCGTCTTTGTAATATCAACAGTAGATATTGATAAGTAGAAAAACCTTTCAGAAAAACTTAAAATGGGAAATTTCCAATTTTCTCCCTGTTGGGCGCACAAGAGCCACACTCTTCCATTACGCCTTTATGTCAAAGTCCATTTTGTGACACATTAGAACCTCCACTATGCCTTGCAGGAGCATCAGTACCGATTGGAAAAACAGTGTGCAGGCACATATCAAGTTGTAACACAGAACTATGTCTCCAAAAACAAATACTGTACAACCTTGCCAGCTAATACTCACTCAGCTCTACTTTACCAATTGTGAACCACTAGCTAGTGACAGAGAAGCTTCACAGTTAATCTCTTTTTATAGCCTTGTCTTGTACGCAGTCTTGCTCACTGCAATACAGGGAATAATCACCAGGTAGTATACTACAGACAGAAGTACACTGACCAACATGGAATGGCTTGAGATCTGATGGCACCTTGTACTACTTTTTTTCCCCATCCTTTGGAAGAAAAAAGCACACATAATTAAAATAAAACAAAAGCACATTCCTGTTGTGATGCCCTTTCATGTTGTTTGCCTTCATGCAGACACTTGAAAATGAAACACAGATGTTCTTCAGGTTTCTGTACCGAGAAGCCAAATATATACAAGTTATTAAAAATATAAGTGGAAAAATGTAAGAGACAAACAGACCAGGAAAATGACTGTCAGAATTTCCATAATCAATTTTGATGGGTCTTTGACATTTTAAGTATTTATTATTTTTGGAATCTGGAAAAAAAACATATTTGCCTGTAAATCACTTCCATGATCTTTAACAAAAAATAAAACAATACTCTTTTTTCAGTCCTAAATCAGTACAACATGTTGGATGCTAAACAACTGTCATGTTTTTTTTCTCTGTCTGAAAGAGAATCAACTTTTATATTACTAAAACCAAGGGGTCTGTATTCTACTGTGCTGGTCCTAGTCTAACAGGCAGTTTGAAATGTCTCTGTTGTCGTGTTTTAATTAAATGCCCCCTCAAGATAACTTGGCAATTAATAAAAAAAACATGATGAGCAACTATTGATAGAACAAAGGTATTTTTAAAAAGTGGAGTGTTAACTTTTAGGTCTGAACCCTGAGGCATGGTCGACTTGTATACATATTTAGTGGTTTAGGTTTTCTTTTAAGAATTAAATGTCAAATACAGTATGTCTTTTTCCCCTCTACCTGTCAATTTTCTGGTGGTCAGATTTTGATACAATAGACTCTTGATATTTTTTGCATTTCCTAATATTGTTATACCTCACTATACTGTATGAGCAAACGCTACATGAGTTTTTTGTTCATATGAGATGTAGTAATTCCTTCCTGTTGTTTTAATTTAATGAGGAGAATTTCACTCTTATGAGCTGGGCTTTTGTAAACCCCTGTTGAGATTCTATTTCTTCTTGTATCTCCTCTTGTATGAGATTCTATAATAAAGACTTATGTGCATTAAGTGCATAAAGTACAGGATAGTATCTATTTTTTGTGTATTTGCTAACAACTATAACAATGTAATACTGTATAAAAAATGAGTGTTATTGTTTTCCTACCAATTGTTTATGCATTGCCTAATGATTTTTAGCATGTTACTTGCAAAATTAACCAGGAATTTTATTGTTTTCATACTTGGGTACTGTTTTGTGCATTAGGCCTAAATCTTTCAGAAACTTCCACTTAATAAAATGAGAAACTTGGTCAGGTAGTTTTATGGTAATGAAGAATTACTTTGTATCATTTTATGTCTTCATTTGGATGGTTTCCTTACAGATTTATTTCAAATTAAGTATAATACCACACTGTGGAACTTATTTTTTTATTTTTATATTTCAAATCCATTACAAAGATTAATTCACATTAAAGCAAAAAATTGGCAAAATCTATTTTTGTGCATAACTCACTGTAATTAGTTGCTAAGTTTACGAAAATCAGCAAATGTCATAGCCGAAAATAAGAGATATACTGTAGTAAACAAATTAAAATTGTTTGATTTTCTTAAACATCAAGGGAGTTTTGTGTATCTGCTTCAGGCATTGAATCAACTCCACATTATTTTACCATAAACTATGATTTGTTTTCTTCTAATAATTTTGTTTCTTCTGAAAAATGGCTACAGAATTCTAAAATATTATTGTAGAGTAATGTGACTCTTAAGACAAAGTCATCATCATTGCATTGAATATAATATAAGGACTTTGTAAATACATCACAACATAACTATTTAGAATGCTGTTCTAATTAACTGTTTAGAATGCTTACATGGCACAAACAATGCTTTCTAATAGGAATATACACAATGTCTCTCCCTGTGAAAGTTAAATTTGACCCATTTAAAACAGGTAAAATATTTGTTACCTATAACCCATTTTATTAACTGAAAACACTTTGTTCTGTCTCTAGCATGAATAGGTACAGCAATTATAGAACTATAATACATTGCACTGCATAATTGCATTGTTGGTGTAGGCAGTCTAGTTTAATTGGCTTCACTGGAAATGTATTAGCATGGTAAAGAAAAAATAGTACTTTAACTTGCTTACTGTACTGCAGGGACACAGCTACAGCTCAGAATGACTGTCATCCATTACCCTAGTCACATTCTCATCAATTTTGTATATGTATTCTTTGGTAGAGAAAATTTCTTCACATGCATTGCTGCTGACAGGTTTCAAATTGACTTGGTTTAATGTTGGTAATACAAAAAAATGAAGTCTCGAATTTATCAATTGTGGGTTCCTAAAATGCAGTAAAACCTTGACATTTTATAGTGAGCATTATGCAACATCTTTGTATCTAACAAGTGTGGCAATTAAATCACATACAGTGTCCTACAATGTGGAAACTATTGACAAAATGAAAGTGAAAATCTCAAATACTTCCAAATGACCTCTATACTTGGTGCATCATTTCTAATATTCATTATGGTCGTCTTCATCAGACCCCAAGAATTTCAGTATAGCAGGACTCTTTATAATGTGAAACTCAGACATAAATATAATCTGCGAATTGTGTCTTCTAGCCCAATAGAGTCACTAGTTACTTACGTAATCTGTTTTCTTGAGGCCATCTGCAACAGTACCATTTGATGCAGAGCTGGGGTCCCGAGGGGTCTTCCCATTTTTCTGCACCTGTTTCCCATCTTCCTTTGCGTGGCCTGCTTCTCTTGGAAGCGCAACTTCCCCCACACCAAGTGCCCCATCTTTGTAGGCCTTGACAAACTCTGCCATGGCCTTTTCCTCTCCTGCAGACAGCCCCTGACACTGAGCAGGGTCCTGATCGTACAGAGGGAGCTGCCTCATCAACTGCCTGCGCCGGTAGAAGGCCCCCTCTGTGCCTGCCACAGGACGTTTCTCTTGTGGAATCAGTTCCATGTAAAGAATTGCCTGAGAGAAAGATATCAATAAAAATGGCTTTAACCATTATACTGAAGGATTTCCACGGCTGCTATACAAGATTCCACAATGCAAATATGTAAACATGAAATAATGTTGATGATGATTTTACAGAATGTACTTTGCAGTATCCTGAAGGTATTAACCTATAAATGTTGTGTACTGGTGATGTTCAGATGTTAATAACATGAAGGTCCATCAGGCAGAAGTGCACTTCACAAATCTTTGCAAAACAAACTTTCCTTTTCATTTCAGCAGTTTCAAAATCTCAACCCGAGTGAATGGCTAACTTTTACCCAATCACCCAAATCTAAGGAAGCTTGGTGTAAGAACTCTTAAAATTTAAGAGAGTTAAGAGTTACAGAAGATATTTTTTAATGAGGGAAATAAGACTCATATACAGTACCAGTAACTTAAAGACACAAAAGAACTTAAGAGAAAGTCTGGCTGGTAACTAGGATCGAAGGCAATACTACTGCTAAACATGAAGTTTACCTGACTTTTTCAAAAGCAACTAAAGGACCACAAAATGTATGCAATTAAAAAAAAACACAAGAAATCCATTCAGGCTTAAAACCCTGTCAAACGTAAGGCCCCTTTCTCAGTGTGCCAGTTCCCTCACTGCTAGGCTGCAACACTACCTCATTGTTAAACTGTCTATATTATTGTGTTCAACAGGACTGGCTTAATATAAACTTTTAAGAGCCATTTAACAGCCATTATATGACAAATAAAAAACTTTTTGGCTGGTAGCAGTTCCAGAGCCTGTTCCAAAATTCTCTCTAAATAAGTGCTGGATAAGTTGAAGGTAATTACACTCTCCTTCAGATTTGTGTCTATACAGCTGAACATCACAAGAGTCCATGATGATTAAAGTATCCAGCAGTGAACTAAGTGGAGCATACAGTAAATGGTCTGAGACATCCCTTCAGGACAAAAGGCAGGCACTAGCAAAGGCCCAGAGGAGACATGCGTTTCTTCTTTTCCCCTTGAAAAAAAAGTTAATTTTTTTATACAAAGAGTTTTTATAGAACAAAGCTATATATTGCTATCCAGCATATACTGTAGACTGACTGGGAATAGCTATGAGGTATAGCTTGAAGAGGCTCTAATATGAAAAAAGCTCTAAACAAGTGTATGAATAATCTGAGTTAAATTGCTCCCTCTCTATCACAACAATTCGGGTATTCTTAATCCTATTGACTCAATCTGAAAAGGACCACACACACTTCAGGCTAATACCACAATTCAGATCAGATATTAATGCAGTAGCAATGCATGCAAGCATGAAACACAGTGCCTGCAATCTTGAATCTCTTATTTTCCTACACTCATAACATGACATGAAATCACATTTGAGTTTAGAGCGGAGAGCTGCATCAGTATATGACCTGCAAAATAGAAAGCAAAGGTCAATTTCATGTTGAAAAGTAAAATGAAGAGAAATGTAAATTTTTAGCAATGGAGCCTTCTACAGATGTTAGTGACAGACCTGAAGAAGGTTATAAGCCAAAATCTTTTCTTCTTTTTATTTTTCTACATGGAATTGAGCCCTGCTTGTTCCATCAGAACACACTGGCCTTAATTATTTTGACACTTCAGAATACAATTAACTTGAATCTTAACACCTTTTACATTATCAGTCTTGCCGGTTTTTGTAGGGGTTTTGTCTCAGATATATTAGATCAAAGACCTATTTACTTAATTTAATATGACCAAGCTCTGTGAATCACTTTGCATCTGTGATACCTGCTGGGACAATAATGAAAATGAGACTTTGCCTTGAAGATAGAAGGGTGTTTGAAGTTTTACAGATAGTTTAACAAATGAAAATAAAAAAAGGTATCCAAATGAGATTCATGTTGGCACAAACAAATTAAGAGAGTCAGTCTGGCACAATCTCATACACAGAAGTTCGAGAAATACCCAGCTACGTTACAGAATGCTGCTTAACATTTCTCTTAATTTAAACAAAAACCAGGACAAATGTGAGGGTGGTCAACCCATGACCATTAAACCCACTGTATCCTTAGTATTCTCAGCTTAATATTTTATGCATCTGGCTTAGAACTAAAACCCACAAGCCTATTCAGACTTTTTGTTCACACTGACTAGGGAACTATGGTAACTTGTACCACAGATATTTACTATATAATGTTCTCCATGGCATCATAAAAGCTGAGGCATTCTAATGTTAAAACCACAATTATTTATAGACTTATAAAATCTGCATTGCACCATTTAAACATAATGGTAAGCAGGCTCAGTGAAGACTGTGTGGAAATGAATTAAAAGAGACCTTGTTTAAGGGGAAAAATAACTGCATTGAAAACCCAAGGTGAGAAAAGGCAATCGCTTATAGACCATATTTAAGGCTGTCCAAATAGACTGTAATTATAAGTTTCTTAACATTGCTTTTTCTATATAATTAGTCTTTGTGCTCGAAACGTGCTTAATCAAAATAAATAATCATGATGCTTCTTGTTTCCATCAAAAGGGGTCTTGTTTATAAAGAATGGCTCATGTAGCTACAGTGAATGGGTTTCCCCAGATGTGACCATTTTCTCATAATGAAATGGGATTGCCTGCTTGACTGAATTTAAATTCAGGGTTGCCAACATTCAGAGTAGCTTTCTAACTTCAGCTACTCAAAGGCAATTGATGGACCTGACATTGCAGTTGTTTCTGTTATTTGCGGATAACTCAGAATCTAATTACACACAGAATTCTTCTTGAACAGTCAAAATTCAGCCTAAATAGCCTGAAAATTCTACTTACATCTATTATTTTTCATGCAATTTTGCTCAGGCCTTCCACAATACGTAGGAGATATCTGCCCATCGTGGATGTAATGGTAAAAATCCTAATAAAACTCCTATAGTCCATCACATGATACCATGACCCATGCGGGTTGTGCCTGTATTGTAAACTATACAAGAACGCTTGAAGGAAGACAAATAGATAGTGAACAAAAAACATTAAAGCCTTCTTTACTGAAAACAATATGCACTCAGCTAGACAAAACACTTCATTTAATTGACTACAAACATAAAATAAAGTTCACCAATTACTCATGTAATCATTATTACAATGCTAATTACCATAATATGTTTTTCACAATTCCCTTATGAAACAATGAAAACGCCTTGTTAACAAACAAGGACAAATACACATGCAAAAAAGACCAGTAAGTTAAAAATCAAGAACATACAATTACAATTTCTTATTTCAAGTGCCAGTGCTCTTTCAAAAGCAGACTTTTACAGCAACAGAGGGCATACAGCGGTTGCCACGAATCCAGGCTGGCTCTCTAGGTCTATAAATCGCAACCCTTTGGACAGAAGGTTTATTTACAGATCGTCCTGCAGCACACTGCTGACAGCCCCATTGGGACCAGTAACAGAAACACTCACTAAAGGACTGTTCCAGCTGGCTTAGCTGTTTGTGTAAGAATAGGAACAGGAAAAGTCAGCCTTGTACTACAACAAAGGTCAACATTATTCCTTGCTCACAAACGGCACACAGCTCTCTTGCCTTGCAGTTTCTGATAGAGCAGTCTTGCCAATATCATAATGCCAAAGGTCCTCTCTGCTTCTCTGTTGCCACAATGAAACATTGAAAATGGAGAAGGCTTTACAACTGACACTACTTTACATAAAGGATTGTGGGAATCCGGTAAACGCTAGCCAGCCCTGTTATTGAAGTCAATATCATTACCTCTCTCAAGAAATTGCTGCAGGAGATTCTCGTATCAATTAGTGACTAAAAACCAAATGAGCTAGATGAGCCAAATACCCTCCTTGTTTGCAAACATTATTATTTGAGTGAAGTGCATTCCATAGATAATACTGCGGTTCATATAAAGCTTTGGGATTGAATCGGTTTGTGTGGCCCCCGAAGACAAAAATAAATTGGCAAGTATATCCTCTCAACATATGGTTTCTAGGAAGAAGTAAAAAAAATCGAAAACATAAAAGGATAAAGTAACAGTCCAGTATAATTTGCAGTTTTTTCCCCAAAATATCAATCTATTGCAATAAGCACAATAAAAAACAGACTTGACAAACTCATCCCAGCGAAAGCACAATATGCATATTTGGTTACCCAGCTCAGGTGATGGTTTCGTCATATTGAAGACTACAACATCTACATGAATGCACATCTAGACCCGATCGATTTGGGCATCATCCCACGGAATGAGAGCAATCTTACCAGCTTCTGTGTCAACCCTGGAGGAGCCCACTCATAGGTGATAGTGTCAAATGTGGGGTCTTTCCTTGACACAATGGGATTGGTGATGATCATCCGGTTCCTCTTGTACACCCTCAGACCATCACTTCCTTTCACCCGAGCAGTCAGGTGGACGTACTTGGAATCAGCCAGCAGTTGGCCAATCTTCCGGTCATCTTCTAGATCTGAGCTCAGGCTGTGATCCTCCTGGATACAGTGGCACAGCTTACATTCTTTCCTGGTGAGTTGAAGAAGAGTAGACCGAGTATAATGACATTGTAGAAAAGAGGCGTCTCCTGAGAAATTCCATCTAAGAAGTTCCATCTTAGCAAATGCCAAAGGTCATCTCAAGGAGAAGCTGGCACTCTCAGCAGCCTTTGTAAAACCACTGCTATTTGGCTCGCCAGGATATTCAGCATGATCTGAGAACTGAGATGATCAATGGAGTTCATTCTTAAAACATTGTACTCTGAATATCGAGCCCTGCTACCACCAATGGTGGAAGAGTGAATCACTCAAATGCCTTTTCATGTGGAGGATTTGTAAAACCAGAACTAAATAACTTCACTAGCCAATCTCTCTTCCATGAGGTCAGGTAAAGAGGCGACCACATGTCAGATCAGTGATCAGAGGTGGTCAATGATACCATTTTAAAATAAACATAGAACCAACAAATGTTGATCCACTTAGTTCAGTTTTGCAACCGTGCACTGTATCTGCACAATAGAGAAACACAGCCTGCTTGCATCCTACAAACTGTGCTTTTCTCACCAACATCCAGAGTTAAAGCACCAGACAGAGGACAGATGTATTCATGGATTCTATTCATGGATTATTCTCACTGTTTCTGTAGGTTTAATGGTCATATTCAGTGTTTGTTTTCTCCGACGCCTTGCCCTATCAAGAATGTTTCCCACTCCCTAATAGGGAAACTTCAAATATCGTTGTTTGCTTGCACCCCCTAAACATCTCAGGGTACAGAGAATCTTGGCTCTGCACAGTCTCAACATCAAGCTCTGAGTGAGATAGTCTTACTTACTCTTGATAGGGTGGATTTGACACATGAAGGCTTGTTTGGATTCTTAAGCTGTTTTTGCCAGGAATCAGACAATTGTTGACAGAATGACTGTGAGCTTTTTGCCAAAGTTTGAAGACTCAGTAGTAAATGTAACTAACGTGAGTTTGGAACTCAAAAATGAATATATTTTTTGGTAATGCGTAACTGCAAAATGTACGCAATTATGGTGATGTATCTTTTTGTACTGAAATCAAGTAAAAATGTGTTTTATTACACAAAGTTATATATTTTGGCAAATTTTTAAAGAAAAAAAGCCAAATAATGATTCCATTGAACATGTTTTGTCCTCTCTTGAGAGAAAATGCTAGACATATTTCACTTAGATTTTTACAATTCCTTCCTTGGTACATTTTCTATCAAAGAAAAATACAGTTGGAGCTATACTGTGTTGTTAAAGTGCAAGCTTTGCTTGGGTTATTTTGAGTCAAATCCTAAAAAAGGAACCACAAAGTCCAGTAACTTAATAAAAAGCCTTATATGTAACGACAGACTGCAAAATTAATTTTAGATCTCCACTGAAAAAAACGTTCAAACAAATTGCCACATTTCTGAGCCATTTTTTTTTACAAATACAAAGTACATGCATTAATGTGTTGCAATACTTTTTTTATACTGAAGTATTGGCATGTTCTACATCTTGTAAACATCTTTGAATTGAGAACTAAAGGATTATTTATAGCTTAATATTTACCAAGTGCAAGCAAAAGGCAAAAATATGGGTGGCATGGTGGTGAAATGGCTAGTACTGTTGTCTTGCAGCTCTGGGGCCCTAGGTTCAATTCTGGACCGGTGGTGCAGTTTGCATGGCTTTTTTTATGTTCTTCCCTTCTTTGACTGGGTTTCCACTGGGTGCTCTGGTTCTCTCCCAGTCTCCAAAGACATTCTAGTAGGTAAACTGGCTTCAGGGACACCTGGCCCTGGTGAGAGTGTGTACATGTCTGTGTCCGTGTGCCCTGCGATGGACTGGTCTTGCCTTGCGCATGTTGCTTGCTGAATAAGCTCTAGATCCCCCATGACCCATGAATTGGATGAAGCACGTAGAAGATGGATAGATGCTAAGACAACAATAATGATGTGGTGAAATTGCGGTTGAGCTGTCATAGAATGCTCACTACACATACAGCAAGTAACTGCATCTTTTGTTAATGGACTACGCATGTTGGTGGTGTGACACGTTTTCATGAAATACTGTACCTGCTACGTTTTTAGGAGGTTCAGAAAGAGCTGCCCAGGACATCGGAAGAAATTGGGAAGGGGAGAACCAAGTGGGTGGACAACTGATCAATTGCAATCCGCAAACGGAAACATCAAATGCGGATGAGATGCTTTTAAAAAAGTGGCTCGTCTTAAAATCATCCAAGATCTACTTTCAAAATAGTAAGGCTGAGGAAAAGGGAAGTCACACTGAGAGCTGCCACGGTGTTGTGATAAATCATAGGAGCGCTCCGCAAACGCACTGGAGAAGAAGGAGGCTCCTTTTTCGGCGGAGAATAAATTACCTCCAGGAATGTGGCTGGAATCCAGAGCAGATCCCTTTACATCTCAAACAAGGCGCACCCCTTCCTGCTGGCTGCTGCCCCATGGACATCTGGAAAAAAACGCAACACAGAAAGGACAGCTTTGAGAGGGGAGCCACTGTCCGGCGTTCACGGTCTGCAAGAGGATAGCCGGGTCTGCAGGGAAGCCCTGTGTGGTCCTCCAACAAGCCCTGCTGGCACTGCACAGATGCCTTCTCCCGACAGCCATTCCTGGCTTACTGTACCTTTCCTTCTGCATCTATTGCCAGTCTCCTCACTTTTAAACCTGCAATCAGCCTTATTCAACACAGTGTAATCTAATGAGAGAGAATGGAGTTTATTTGCACAGTAACTTAATACATTTTTCTTGCTGTGTAATGATTTGCCAATTTCCCAACTCCAGAGGAAAATGTACAGTAGCTACCAGGTTTTTTTCCTCCGAAAAATGTTTGGTGAGAATCTTTAAAAGGGGCAAGACACAATCCAGGTACAGAGAAAGCTTATATACGATATATATATTATTTTCACTTAAATATATTTTTAGAAAACAAACTGCAGTTTATTTCGAGTTAGAAAAGCTGGGAAAATTACACTGCAGCACCAAGCTTTGGAAGTTGTTCTGAAAGATTTTGTGGTCCAGCAGTTTATTACTTGGACTTGGAAGCGTCTGCTGTACTTTTGAAAGCAGAACACACCCACTAATCAAACACATATTCATCAGATTTGTATACATAACACTCTTCAGTCCACATTTCTTTGTGTTTGGTGCCCTGTCTTTCCTCCCTACACCTTGCAGTTTAGCTTGTCTAAGGAAACAGTGTCTGAAGGTCCTTGTGTTCAGAGTGTTGGCATTACATTAGCCATTTCATTCTTGGTTCCAGAATAAGGGTAGCCTGCAAGCTACACTTAACAAGGCTGTGAGCCAGAACAATACAAAATAACAGATGTTACCAGTCAGTAACATGCAAAAACAATCAATATGTCAGTAAATTGTTCACCCTTAGTCAAGTGACAGATTCCCATTTCAGCTAGAATGATGTAGGATCTTTGTCTTTTTTGTTGTCACACGACATGGGCTTGGAGGATATCACTATATTGCAGAGTATAGTGCAGGTAAAAAAAGCTGTGTCTACAATTGTTCTGAAGAGGTAAGTGGAAATGAAAATTGAAACATGTTACCCTATTATGCCAAGATATATGTAATTATTCTTAAAACTAAAGAAGGATACAACCAAAAGCACATCTGAAAAATGATATATTCCACTATATTTGTTAACTTACAGTAAAAAAGATTTTGAAAAGTCACGTACAATGATTTGGATACCTATTAGTTGGATTTAAATTTATTGACAATTTAATCCTCAGTCTTCTGTGTTTTGATTGCTGAAAGCTCCAAGTCAAGATATAAATACCTACTGCATTTTCCTAGATTGTAAACAAAAAACATGATTTGACTGAGGAGCACAACTATTTTTATTCTCGATTTTCACTTGGGCACTTTGCCAAAGCCTTTATCATGACAATGCAAAGATGAGCCTTTTCCTGGCAAGTGAAAGTTTGTAGTAAACAGCTTTAAGGACTCCCTATTTGTTCCTCTTTAATCTGATGTCCGTTTCCAAACTGTGTGCTGCGCTAGGCCATCTGTCATCTTCTTACTTCTATAATGAGGCAGTTCACCTAGGAAAAATGGCTGTGGTGACAATATATTGATAATGAATAATACATTAGGGCAATAAAAAATGAATACCAATAAATGATCAGGTTCACTATACTGTATATCAATAAAAAGTAATGTCTTACCAATAACATAAGACAATATTTTCATGTAACGTTTTCACAGCTTAGAGAATTATTTGCCAAATGAATTTCTAATACCTAACAGGCTAGATATCATCAGGGAATGTAATTGCTGTCTCTCTTAGCAGGGGATTTTGAGTTTCCTATCAAAATGGCATTCTATATGGAAAATACTCTCAAGTAGAAACTGTCATAAGAAAAGCTTGAAAAGGAAGAGGAAATATACTGGAAGGGAAGGGTTTATGGTCTGATATTGTGCACCTGTGAGAGTGAAAAGGTACAGTATACAAATTGACCACAAATGATCTTAACTATGCTCTAGGGTTTCAGAGGTTGAATATGGCAGTGCATTCTGAAACCATAGAGCAGGCATAAGTGGAAACTACAAGAAAGTGTATGTGAAACAGAGAGCAGATCCATCAGAAACCATTACCTATCCTGTGCTTACAGTTCCCCTGCTACTGCAAAAGTATTTTATGATTGAATGCTACCAACTCAAGTGTCGCTCCTTGTTACAAGAGTTGAGTGAAGTCATCAACTGTAGTTAACTGGACCTACAGGCTGAATGCAAAACCTAATGCAAAAACTTCAAACTGAGGACAGCACACAAAAAGGCAGAAAACAAATGAAAACCACATCAGTTAGAGAAACTAGATATTATTTTCATATTCTTCAACAGGCAAACTTAATTGTGAGAAACAAACAGGACAAACTAAATACTTTATGCTCCAGTAGGAAAATTTTCTACAATTGGTCTAACTGGAAATACAGTGCTTCCCAGAGGATTTTCCAAAAAGTACTGTATATTTACGTGGGCAAAATAAAATACTTACTATTACATTTTCACAATATATACTGTACCTTAAAGGCCAGCAGCCATGTCACCCTGCAACTTACAATTGGCAGCCCACTGAAGCTAAGTAAGTGTGAGCCTGGCCAGTACCTGGATGGGAGACCTCCTGGGAAAAACTAAGGTTGCTGCTGGAAGAGGTGTGAGTGAGACCAGCAGGGGGCACTCACCCTGTGGTCCATGTGGGTCCTAATGCCCCAGTATAGTGACGGTGACACTATACTGTAAACAGGTGCTATCCTTCGGATGAGATGTAAAACCAAGGTCCTGACTCTCTGTGGTTGGAGTATTCTTGGTCACATTTAGTGGCAATGTCAGCTCAAAGATTTGGTTCAAACCACTAAATGGAGACGGGCGTGCCAACAAGCAGACCCTGCTGATGCGGGATTAATGCAAGGATGAGAGATACTGTACCTTATAAGAGCAAGAAGCAAATTGTGTTCTGAACTGACAGACCTACAAAATCCAGTTGTTACTTCTGAAACAAGACTTGTTTCTTATGCTATGCCTGCATCTAGGGGACTATCAACAGTGCTTCATTTCTGCACCAGAAAAAGAAAGTTCTGTGTGCAAAATGATGCATAATCTGTTTTCTCGCAAGTGGGCACGCCTATAGTTGTACGACATGCAGGAAACATCAACAAGCCGTATTGGAAAAGCAGAATGTCAGAATATGCATTACAAATGGAAGATCAACAAATCTGTCTACTGGGCACAAATCACGTGTAGAAACGGGAAAAGAAACCCAATACTGTAAAGCTCAATTTGAAATAATGCCAAAGTATGGAAGGTTTAGACTGAGAATAAGATTAATTTCCCTCTGCTGGATTAACTCAGGGCCATTGAACAAAGAACCCAATATTGCTCTCACACATACAGTATTCTCAGTTTATTAGAGTATTGGTACAACTACACATTTAACCATATCTATTTAGGCCAGGCTAAAATCCCTTTTCCTTTACTTTAGGCAACTAATGTCTTGAAACAATTGTATTGTTTCTTTGCTTTTGTTTTAAATATGGACTAAGCCTGTATCCTGCCTTGTGCATGTTATTTGATGGGTTAGGCTCTGGTTCACCACAACCCTGCATTGGACTAAGTGGTTCTTGAAAATGGATGGACAGACTAATCTGAACCTCAGAACATAAAAGCTAACCACTACGTTCAGCTGCACTAAGTGCAGCAGAATCCCTCACCATGATAAGGCAGACTGTATTTCGTGATGATGAAGAAATCAACTGACTTAAACTACTTTATTTATTTTCCAGGCACTTGTATTAATGAATGGTTCTACATGAGCAGTTCTTGAGAGACACAAGTTTTACAGGTGCATAATGGAGCTTTAGACCTGGAAAGGACCATTAAATTGGTCTAGCTGAGCAAGCAATTAAATTAATGATTTAATTGAGGTCCAAAGGGACAACCAGTGAACTGCAGAGCCCTTATGGGTAGTGGCTGAAAACCTCATAAGTCACTTTCATTTAAACAGAACAGCTCGTTGTATTATTATAATGACCAACAGGAACTTTCAAAGATGAGCAAAGTCAAGTGTCAATAGATTTGCACTTGCAATGAGAACTGAAGTTAGTTCATACTAAGACATTCTTACAAAACCCTATCTGTTTTATAAGCTATGTCTGTGCGCTAATTTGGCATAACAACTTGGATGTCATTTGCAAAAGGCCCACACTCCATCATTTGTTTTAAAGAGATGCTATTTAGCCCACCATGAAAACCACAATCAACACCAGAGAAGACAAACTCTAATCACACAATGTTCCTATTGAGCAAGTCTGGCAGCTCATTTAATAAAAGCTCCTACATGCAAGTAGTGGCTATGTTTCAGTAAACGGGGCATTCTTCTACTACTAGAAAATAAAAGCAAAAGAAAAAAACACTGCCTACAGTAAAGTCTTTATAAAGGCTACTTTTCTTTTGAGTATTGCAGAGTGAGGGGGGAAACGTAGGAAACTATTTTAATAGGCCTGCCAAGTTCTGAGCCTGCAGTGTGGCAGGAAGAATAATTGAACTGGAGCCACAGCAAAGAACTGGCCACGCTGGGAGCACATTCTTGGCTGAGATCCCCTTGCAGAGCAACAATGTGTGAATTCATGATAAAGCTTGAGAGATGGCCTGGCTATTTTAGATAAGGTGATCTGAGTTTTCCACTGCCTCTGACAATGTCCTGTTACACAACAGCAAGAGATGTCAACTAGGGCAAACATACAAATCACACACACAATGATTAAAACATGAAATGCCTGGCAAATTTTATGAAAAACACTTCATCAATGGTGAACAATAAACTTCAGCAGCGTTGTTCCATTTGTAAATCCTTACTTTCTGCAATGTCTCTGCTTCATGCTACAGTCACATTCTAATAGTGTCAAAAAACAGAGTAGCCACACTGAAGCACGTCCACAGTTCATAGTCCTTGCTATCTTGGACTTGTACTGTATGTGTCTGTTTGACCAGGGAAACCCAATTTGTCCACGACACTGCCATGATCCCAAAGTGGCTATAGAAGATCTGGTTTCTTCTGCAGAAATATTTAAGTACAGGTACCTAATAATACCTGGGTATAAGTGACAGGACTGTATGACAATTTTAAACCGATGAACCGAGTATCCCCGTCTATTGTCTTTGAAGTTGACATTGCAGTACAGGTGGCTTTAAAGCGTCATGTCAAGAGCCATGTTAAGGAACCCAATGGAAGACAACTAGGAAACCCTGGAATGATTAGGATCCCTGAGCCCAAGCTTAGCCAGCTGGCAAAGGACAAGCAATAGATCTATTTAAATACTGAAAAGTCCATCGAAATGAAAGGTCTCAGCAGACAATGATCAGAGCGAGCAGTTGCTGATCTTCTTTCTTCATCCTTCATTCAAGGTTGCAAGCAATGTGGGAACAACAGAATAGAATAGTGAGCAGTTAAAACACTGGGAAAAAGTAGATGAAAGACTAAAGAAATAGAAAATGGTAAGATTGGGGAAGATAATTATCTGAAACCATCCGTGATGCTCTTTAATGAGTTCTGCAAAGGCCGAATAGAAGAATAAACAATTCTTGCAGCGATTCAGAAATGTCACACTGGTAATTTAACATGAGAAATGGTAATAAAAAAAGGCAAGAGCCTTGAACAGTCAAGAACTGTGTGAAGAGTAACAATAACATCACCCAGAAATGTCAAACTCAGAGCTCATTGGCGTGACTTTGAGAAAAACAAACTGGTGACTCCTGCCAATGCAATAATGCAAATATTAGCATAAAAGTGATCAGTGTGTCAACTTAGGCCAAAGTTTAAAATCCAACATAATTTGTTTAAAAAAAGAAGTCTCTTAACTTTTTGAGAAGAGCAAGCACACCTGTTGGCTTTAACCCTTTTAAATGACTCATTTTAACAACAAGGATGACGTACGAGATCTATTCCACGTTTCGGTCATGGAGCCTTCTTCAGGTGTTTTAACAATTTGAGTGGTGTACAGTATGTACTGTAGCTGGATCTTAACATGAGGGTGAAGTTTGCTTTCCTGAACAGAAACGGAGAAGTGATTACTCATCTGCAAATGGTAAAGTATGTCACAGTAAACTAAGAGTGTGATCTGGATGCTTATACAAATGCCTAAGTGAATTCTAAATAAAATACAAAAACCAAGAAACTGTTGCGTTTCTGTAAGGTGCAGAGTGACCCGAAAATTCAAGCATACTTTTAGAGTTGATTCAAACAAAACTTGCAACGTTTCACACATTTCTGAAAAACGGTTTTTAAAGGTCTAGGAATGAATAAACATAGAAATAAACCTTCGTAATTTAGTTTAAGCATTTATGGCAGGCAGCCAGCGCGCATTAGTTGGAAGAATGTGAACATACCGAGCAAGTTAGAATGGAAAAGGGCCAACACCAAAAAAATCAAGAGAAAGTACACATCGTCAAATGTACACTACCCTTAATATGTACCGTAAATGCAAGTACTTCATCGTATCAATACAAGGTGCAGGTGTCTCGCCTTGTATTGATAGCATTTAATAAACTTCAATAATTGTAATACTAATGAATGTATTTACACAGTAATTTGCTTAGTCAAAATCGCCTTTGTACAATAACAGCATCGAAACAGTGCTTAGCTTTTGCCCGTGAAAACTACCCTTCACCTGGATTTGTCTTGCACAGATGTTCAAAGAAAGCGAAAGGCGTAAAATCATTGGAAAGCAATAGCTACACATTCAGCAAATCACCACACCACCGTCTTACCCATCCATTAAAACGTAACCATACGTTTTACCTTTTGCATTCCAGTGCTGAGATCCATTAGAAGCACTTTTTATTTGCAGTTAAAGAGTATTTGTCGTATCTCCCTCTTCAGTGCTCAGCTATTACCACCTTGCTTGCAGTTGTAGTCTGTTGCCTGCCCGTTCTTAGGTTGTTTTAATACGAGGGTGGGAATCCCGACATAACTTTGCCAGCCAATTACGATAAACTGACATTATTTTACCCAATAGAAACGCTTCATATTTTTTGCTCTTTTCCTTCTTTCGCTCTTTTTTGTTGTACTATTCGGGAACACCCAGCCTCCTTAAAAGACATGACATCACCGGTGAGGGATTATGTGATAGAGTGTGAAAGAATGCTCGATTCACATTTTTGTCCTACTACATTAGATAGCGACTGAGTATTCAGGCTTTCCTGTATATTAATTTCTTCTCTTTTTTTCCCTTGAAAGGAAAAGCTACGCACAATGCAACTAAACCAGTGAGGATAAATAAACCTATCCTGACTAAAGGTGCAGATGCGGATTTAACCAAATACGGAGCCTGATAAATGTTACTGTACGTGACCAAATTCGGCGTTTACAAGTAATTACAATATTTGATCATGGTTTAATAATGGAAATCGAAGCTCAGGTGTTATCAGTTGTTTTCAGTCAATTCCTAACACCTCTGTGTACCTCCATATTTATTAGGTTGCACAATATGTAGAAGCACACATAAAAATATGTGATAAGTTACAAAAACGTAACTTTGTAAATGGGAAAATGTATTCCATATTTTCTTTTTATCATATACATTAAACACACAGCATGTGTATACCAAACGGAAGGTATACTACAATATGTCGGACATATTCATATTTAACTAAAAGTAAAGACGCGAGCATCAGAAGTAACAGTTCAGTTGGGAAATAAACAGTAGAACATACTACAGTACAGTACTTTGGGATGCAGTTTCAAGGATGATCAGGAGGTTATCTAGTAGGCTCATCATCAGCTTCAACAACGTTAGGGTAGGATAGACCTGCTTCACATTGTGTTCCTCTACTGCTCTTGCCTCTGAATGAAAAAAATAATTCCTAAAAGGGCTAAATACCCCCATTCAGCGGCGCCAGGTTATGCAAGCTTTCAAAAGCAACAGAATGATAAACGAGCGCTGTGTTTTTGTAAATAAACGACCTCAATTTATTTAAATATTTTATATGTGGTAGTCTTTGAGCACAAATAGTGTTGTGACCCAAATCGGGTTTAAAAAAAATCGCCTCCAGGTTTAGGTCTGATTTTGTTCTTTTTGTGAATCAGATGGTTTGTGACTCATTCTGATTATTAGTAACAATTCTTAATAAAAACGAAACAAGGTTTTTACCAGCCCTTGTTCTCATTTGATTCCCCAAAATGGAATTGGGACAGTTTGAAACTCACCAGCATCCTCCCATAGACAAACTGCTGTCAATACAGGTCCATAGAAGAAATACAGAAATGCCATACCTAACTGTTGTAAGAACTATTTAATTATGTTCCCACGTAGTATTCGAGGATATCAAACAATACTGTAACTCTGTGTAATGTGGTTAGACATCGTACACTTAAACTAGATAATAAACCGCACTGCAAACAGCAGTTTACCAGATACGGTATCTGGCAAGACGTGCCTTTTGGATGATTTAGTATGATTTCGTCTGAGACATTACTCACATAATCTGTGTTTGTGTGCGTGTACTGTATCTTGACCTCCACTTTCTTGCTTTATGCCTTTAAACATCTGAAAAGTTTTAAATGCAGCTGTTTTTGTCTAGACAAGGGCACGATAGATAATAATGACACCCCTGAAATCACTTCTGATTCATGTTAGTGCAGTCATGCATATCGTGAGTTTACTCACTGTTTACTAATTTGCAAGAGCAAATACAGGTACATTTCACACTAAAACACACTTTTGGAGTATCTTTCTTATTTTCCTTCATTGAATTAAGATCTACTGTACTTCTTCCTTTGGAAATTTACACTCGAACATTTTCATTGTTTACACCAACTGTTCGGATTTTGGTCAGTGTACTGAAGGCACTTTAAAAATAATTCAGCCTTTCTACTTAAGTGAGTACTAACCAAAGCTACTCCCCACCACATTCATTCTAAAATGCTGCAAACATGAAGTGAGAAGAGAAAAAGCCTTTCATTAAACTTTGTACCTCTGAAGAAAAATAAGTCTTTATTCTTGTGCTGTCAAGTCATATTGTTTTTAAACCTCGTAGAGATTACGGGACAGTGTTTCTTAATTACCAGAAATATCCATAGGTCCAAACAATGCTTGGCAACGTTCATTGTCAGAACACAAATACTGAACACTTTTTTTTAACAATTCAATTAACTCTAAGTGAATGAACATGTAGCCCTTTCAGTTCATGGAGAAATTCACAATCAAGAAAACGGCACCATCTAGTGGTTTTCAAAATATTAATTTAAAAGCATGGTTACAGGAATGTCATGTCATTTACCAAACCGCTTCATACTGTAACGCTTACGGCCGACAAGCAGTGTGTGTAAGAGCCGGCGTACCAGAGCGGGTGACGTCACCGCCCTTCCCTGTGATAGCAGGACCACAGCTACTGGGCTGTGGAGAGATCTCTCTTTAGCTCACGGGGCTAGGTCGCTGCAGAGAGACGCGGAAGTCCCGGGTTTGAGCCACCTATACTTTGGGCCGACCAGATGCGGCAAGGGCGCCCGCCTGAGCCCCCGTTGCGTTACAATACCATATGGTGTCCCGGGAAGTCGGAGCCTACCCTGCAAGCAACGAGCGCAAGGCAGGGTACACCCTGGACGGTGCGACAGTCCATCGCAGGGCAGGTGCAAGCCAATCATACTTGGGGACAATTTGGAGCCGCGGTAATGGCCGAGGGGGGAAATTTGGCCCGGACACTGGGATAGCTCCCTACTCGTCGTGAAATGCCCGGGGATCTTTAATGACCACTGAGAGTCAGGACCTCGGTTTAACGTCTCCACTGAAAGACGGGGTTACGGGAATGCTAAAGACAAAATAGTATACATTTCCTCCTAATTAAATAATGCACATTTGTTTACAAGATCTACAGAACTATACTTGTGACCCCAGGTTTCTAGAGAGAGAGGAATAAGCATCTGCATGGATAAACTGGTGTTGATGTCTGACAAATTACTAGAATCTTATCTACCAATATACAGTACCAACACGTTAATACTGTACATTGTTTAAACAATTCCACAGATGTACAGACATACTTGCAGAAGCAATAGTATATTTGATCATTTAATGTGCTTTGAAAGGACTTTAGATTCTAAATATACTCCCTTCCAGGGTATATCCTGCCTTGCTCCCATTGCTTGCCAGGATAGGCTCTTGGACTCCTGTGCCCTTAAATTGGATGAAGCAATTAGAAAATTGAATGTTGGAATGGAAAATTGCTGTTTTGATGGGAGATGTACACTGTGTGTGGTAGTTTTCCTGTGAACCACATATGATTCTAGGTCAGTTTTTTGTGTGAGTGGGTAGTGTTACCCAGATCTAAGCTGTAGGAAAAATAAATGAAAGTAGAACACTGTACAAAGACACAAACGTACTGCGAGATCATTTCCTATAAGTTCATATCTGGTATTATGAAACACAGACAGATACCTGTAGCTCATAATACAGCTATGGAAGTATCTATACTGTATTTAACTATATAATTCAGAACTGGATATAAAGGACACGTTTAAGTACTGCATCATGCATCAACAAAAGTGACAAAGACTTAACATTTGCCTGGTATTTTTGGTAATGAAGTGTTGTAGACTAGATACAGTACATTCTTGAAAGAAAGTGGATTCATCTGAGAATTTGAGCTGTTTACCAAATTAAGTGATTCAATGCCTGTTTTGTAGGTAATCCTTGCTCACAATATTGATGAGATTAACAAGAAATCAATAACAGCAAAAACAGAAATTAACCCAATTCAACCTTTTGAATTACACTCTACTTGCGGCAATTTCAGTGTGTTACAGAATTTTCAAAGATCAAATTTGGAAGGATGATTACATGTGTTGGAATGACAAATAATATAAGCAAATGTATCAGGAACCCGAATATGATTGGTGATATTTGGAAAGTGCTGTCAAAAAATAAGATGTTAATTAAGAGAGTAATCCAAAATGACTGAAAGCCATATTCTTCCTTTTGTAGACTGTGTTTCAGGTACATTCAGGGATTGACAGTGCAGCTCAAAGAGTTAAAAAAAAGGCAAAAAACAAATCTTGGCTAGCAGACTGCAAACCAGTCATTTGGGTATCTTTAATGGAAGAAAATTGGTGGTAATTTTTTCCATCGGTTCATTGTATTCTGCAGCCTTTTACTGTTCTGGAATTGAAATGAATCCCTCCGGGGCTGTAAACTAAAAGGTTGTGAATGGGTTTTGGGAATGTTTGAGCTTCCAGTAGGCAAATATGGCTCTGGGGAGACATAAGGTGCTAGAATGACTGAAGGCTTTGCTGAAGTAATAAGAAAGCAGTAATTAGCAAAGGGAGCCACAGTTTTATGCCTTTTTATACCTTTAAATTTTTTGAGATGGTAGCCCATGCCCCATGTATGATGTTAAAGGTGTTGTTACAGCTAATAACATAAAACTAAAAAAACAACAACTTTTCTTCTTCTAATAACTGGACAAAATATTGAGAATGGTCAATTTAACTGATCGTCACAGTGGCTGGCACTGCATGAGCACGAGATATGTTGAATCTTCCATCTTCCCTGGCACAGATCTCACACTGCAAGAAAAGTGGAATGTGCAATTAAATCCCACACCATTGCTCTCATTACTGTCGGTCTGGCAGCTTTCTTTCTTTATGCAGAAACATCAATTGGCATATGTTATTAGTATTGCCACTACAGCAATCCCTACCAAATTTTGAGTTAATTCACCAAATAGTTTAGGAGAACAATTGTTTGCAGTAAAGGATGCATATTGTCAAGGTAACAAATGGAGATCATGAAGCTGCTCTAGTAATACAAGAACCCCAGCGCACCTGAGGTAGAATACGAATGATGAATATGGAGTTAGACCTCCGATATTTGCCTTTATGTGTAATGCATTCTGATCAGTTATAAAATGTCCAATATGAACGTGTATTTTTAATTGTAAACCAAAAAATTATTTATGTTTCCTAATGTTTTAGCTGGTGAATGCATAAACTAAAATACAGTTGAGGGGTGATATCTGAAATAAAGAGTTTAGTGTGTATAAACCACTTTTATTTTCAACATTAATTAAGACCTATGAAGTAAGCTTTTTATTCTCTACTGTGATATGG